ACCAGTTATACTATCAAAAATTAGAAAACAAACATCAATGGTAGACTACAAAATTCAGCCCCCAAAGGACAGAATTTTGTTTGTAATATCAATAAAACTAACTTAGCAATCTTTGAGAGGTCAATATGAAACTTACTGGTGTGTCAATGAGGTTTAAAAGGTACTGCTTTCCTTTAAAACTATAAAACAAAGTTGCTGTTTGTGCTTTCACGGTGATGCCTCTTTCTCGTTCCACTTGTAATTTATCAAGAACCTGCTGATTTTTCTTTGTCTTATCAATTGTTCCTAGAAATACAAGAAGCTTTTATTGATTTTTCTGGGATTCAAAAAAAATTAAACATAATTAAAAGAAAACATTAAAGATATAATACCAAAATGTAAGCCATCATGGTAAAACTAAATCCCCAATTACTCGAGGTAATCACAAGCATATGATATAAAATGAAAATACCTGTTAGTTCGAGAAGCCTGTCAGCTAAAGTGCTTTTGCCATGATCCACATGTGCAATGATACTGAAATTTCTAATATCTTCAGCAGGAAATCTAGACATGTCAGGTTTCTCCTAAAATGGGAAGGGGATATCACATTTAGGGGTATAAAGTTTGCATGAAACAAATTGTAAATTTAAAGAAAATTCTTTTAATCTTTGGACAATTTCACTTGTTGCACTTACTTTACCTCATTTTTCCTACAATAAAGATGTATGACTAAGCCTACACAAAGAACAAATTACAAGAGACTCACCAAATATATCGATTGCATAAACAAACTTCCATCACGTATTTAGCCAACAGCAAATTTATTTTCATTAATGCGAGACAGAACTCTTCAAGAGTATGAGAAGCACAGAAAACTCTTAGAAAATCTTTAACATAGTGAGACACACCACAATCTGCTGGAAATCGGTAGTCAAGAGAAACAGGGGAGTGTGTGTTCTTGTTAGGCATTTTGCCGCAGCTGATATTTCATCATCAGGAAACAAGATGAAATTGTAATGACTGTAACACTTACTTCAGCTTCTTCTAGTTACTCAATATAGGCAGATAAAGGTATAGAGGAATTCTTTAAACAAAACTGTAACAGCACTGTAGTCTTTTTTTTTTTTTTTCCCCCATCGCATTCAGGTCAAAGTTCTGCAGAAGCGCATCACTTTCAAAAACCCTGAGTTGCGTTGCGACGAACACAAATCCATTTTTCTAACCACAAAAAGGCTATCTGCTGGAGCCACATCCTTGCACGGGGCTAAAAAGTTCCGTGCTTTTGCGTCCCACAAACCTCCAAGTTTGATTATTATCCCACTCAATAATGAAGCTGCAGAATCGGATACAAATCAAGCAAGTTGCCCAAGAAAACATAAATAACACATGCACATGATCAACCCTATCCCTAAGCCAGGCTAGCGAGCAGCCAGGGTCCAAGGGCTCGCTCGCCCTCGGTGCACACGCGGAAGCCCAGCGCCTTCCTCGGGGTGAGCCTGTCACCTTGAGCTCCGCAGTGCTGAAGGGCCTGCGGGTGGCCCCGGGTTCCAAGGCAGCCACGTGCCGGGAGCAGGGAGGCAGCAAGCGCGCGGCCCCGGCAGCCCATGGCGCCAA